CAAAACAAAACAAAACAAAACAAAACCTGCGGGGCTAAAAACCGGTTTCAGTCCAAGAGCGCCCCCCAAAGAAAAAAAACCCCTGGAGGCTCTAAAACTAAAAACTAAACTCCCTCTGAGTAACTTGAGGGCTGCCCCTCATCTTTGCGGGAGGGGGGGCGGATTTTAGGAGTTTTTTCCCGGATATTTGAGATAAACTGAAAACTCCTCCGTCCCCGGAGCCGCTGCGGTTCAAACTGAGCGGAGTCCCGGATAACCCCCTCTGCCTCCGCCCTCAGAGCCCGGGGAAACCTCCCAGACTTCCCGGGAAGTGACGTGAGGAGGTGCCGCTGCGCGCGCCCCCGCGTGCGCGTGCGCGTGCGCTGTTACCTGTGCCAGACGCACCTTACGCACCTTCCCACGCGGGGAAACGCCTCCTTCAGCGTGATCATCAGCAGGGAAATGATCTGATTCCTGGTTGGTGAGTCTTTGTTTCACAGAGAAGGGAAACCGGTTTTAAAAGAGATGATAATCGCTTAGAGGAGAATCCGGAGGCTGCTGACTTATTCCAGAGGACTAACGCGGAAAATAAACATTTAAAGAACTAGACTGACTAAAAGGAGACATGGAAAATAAATAAATAAACAAAAATAAATATAAAACCAAGATTTGCTTTTAAAAAAGCCCACAAAGCGACAAAAATGCCTGTAAATAAGTGCAAATCGATTCAAACTAATTCATTAAATGTCCAAAAACTTTTTTTTTTAAAAGAACAAGATTAAAAAATAACCTCAAAATGGATTGAAAACGTGCCGAACATCATTAACGAACAAAAGAGGACAAAATCCACAAAGAAGAATGAAACATCCTGATAGAAGATGGTGGGACAAATAGTGAATTTTACTTATTTGGCTTTTCAATGTCAGCTGGGATGTTTTAGGGCTTTTTCCTGTTCCAGATATTTTCAAATCTTTATTTTTTTCGGTTTCTTTCAAACACATTTTCCATCATTTAAACAGGTGAGACTGAATTGTGTCTTTTTCTGTGATTTTGTTCATCCGATCTGACACATGGAGTCACATGGCTCCACCCAAACTGAAGGTCATTTTCTCATTTAAAGTAAAACTAAAATAGGAACAGGAACTCTTCACACAGCATCAAAAGAGGAAACCTGGAGTTTAATGAGGTCGTTCTGGAAAAAATGTACTGTTCTAATGTTTATCCTAATGTCAGTTTGTCAATATGGAAACTAAAACTTGCCAAAATGGAGGTAAATGATGATGAAGGAGCCTGAAATCAGGGGAAACTCGGTCCTCCACCGTCCGTTTATTTCACCAGGCCAGACTCACAGTTACAGAACAGCCGGGGAAACGGCCATTTTCCTGAAAACACAAACCGAACGACAGCAGCCGGACCGGGACGCCCCGATCTGTAGACTATCGACGATAAGGGGAAGAAAAGAGGACACATTCCTGTCTTTTAAAAGACATTCCTTCACAATAAACACAAGAGAGAGAAACTTAAAGGGATATTTGTTTTGTTTTTTCTTGCCTTCGAGGGAGAAAACAGAGCAAAGACCGTACCATGGAAGGTAAAACATCCCCAAATACATGAACCTGTGCAGATCTGAGCTGCTTTTTGGAGGATTCCCTCCTATTTTGAGGAGCTATTTGCCCCCCTGCTGCAGGTAAAACCGAATTCTGATTAAAAAAAAAACAGGAAATGTCCCTTTAAGTTCCCCCTGCAGACACTTGGGCGATTTCCTCTGAGTGGAATTAGACGTTTATACATTTCACAGCCCTTCAGACGTGTAAAGCTTCAGGAGAGAGGCACTGCTCATTTATAACCCCCTCACACACAAACACAAACGGTGTAAACCCGGTTAAAATCCAGATAAAACCCACAGACGGCTTCACAGGTCTGTTGACCCTGTTTTTTTTTTTTTTTGTCTGTTTTTTTTACAGGACGGACAGAACAGAGTGAAATCACACGTGTTAAAAACCGAACCTTCTTGGTTAAAACTAATTTGGTTAAAAATCAAACGTGTTCAACACAGTCTATAAGATTTCGGAGGACCGGGGGCCTCCCGACCCGGTTCCAGACGTAGTGTGGGACTCAGAGGAAAAAGGAAAAAGCAACGCGGAGATAAACAGAGTCCCCAGCGGCGAGCGGAGGAGGAGAAAGGGGCGTCTGTAGGTATTCCCCCCAGAGGGCTCAGAGTGTGAGTGTGAGTCTGCTTCTGAGGAGTCCTGTCTCTCTAAGTGGGAGAACCTGTCCGGCCTTTAGGGGGCGATCCGGGCGCCGCCGGCGTCCTGCTGCTCGCGCTTCTTCAGAGCCTCGATCACCGCCATCTCCTTGGCCTCCTTCTTCTGGTTCCTGGCCTCAAACTGCAGCCTGAGGGCAGAAGAGGACCAGTAAATGGAGGGGGTTTGCAAGTTGAAAACCTTGGAAAAGAATAATTCTGCTCAGATTATTTCGTATGTTGGCACTCGGCATCTTAACTCATTGAATGCCAAAGACGTCTATAGACGTCTTTTATGTTTTTCAACGAGAGTGGCTGGGGGACGATCTGCTAAAGCTTGTCCGTAAATATCGGCTTGTAGACAGAGTATGTAGTAACAAATTGACCCTCTTTTGATGGGAGATGAGCATAGACTGTAGGCAAATAACAAAAAGGTAACGGTTCGCTATGAGAGAACATGTCGCCGGTGAGATGCAAGTCGAGGAAGAACGGAATAAGGTAGAAACAAAAATTTTTTCCTGATGAAAGAAGAGAGTCTACTCTTTGTTTTGGTGTGTTCGGTGTTTACATAGTCATAGCACAAACTATTCTGTGGCTCTTAAAAAATCAGTCAAAATGCT